AAAAAAAAAAGTTTATTTTTGAGACAAAGATTGCGCGAGCAAGCAGAGGAGGGACAGAGAGAGAGCGAGGGAGAATCCCAAGCAGATTCCACGCTCAGGGCATACCCTGACATGGGGCTCGATCTCACAACAGTGAGATCATGACATGAGCTGAAATCAAGAGTCAGACACACAACTGAATGAGCCACCCAGGCGCCCCCAGAGATGGTCATTTTTAAATGTTTCCTATTTCTGTGATGTTTGGGTCAGGGGGAAAACATTTATTTAGAATAAAAAAGAGTAAGATATTATACAGTGTATTGAAATGTCTGGTTTATGAATATATCAAAAGCAAATTTCAACTTAAAGACTAAGAAAGAAAACAGCCATTCCAAGATCATTTAGTTGCAGGAAAAAGTCTAACTGTGCCTATAAGAAGCTAACCATTTTCATTTAAATGGATGACTGAAAATTAGTAATTTCTCAGAGACTTCAGACTACAATTAAAAAGTGAAAAAAATTCAAATGTACATCCCACTTTCCACACCTTCAATCCTAAAGCAAGGAAAGCTCAGGAGTTGGCAAACCATAGAGAAATTAAAATAAGCTGTTACAGCCTATCTAACCATTTAAAAGAACAATGATCAAAGAGGAAGAAAAACCTTTCCTTGGACATTCTTCTCACCAATTGCACAGGGTAAATTTTCCTAAAGGAATTAATTTTGCGAACCCAATCCAAATGAACACTTCAGGGAAATGCTCTACTTCAGACTCCCCATGTTAGGAGTTTAGGGCCAGGGTTTTCAAACTGTATTAACCTAAGAGCCACTCCTGAGGTGATTCAAGACCATTTTGGTGCCAGGAAAATCAAAACAGGAACAAAGCTATTTGTATTCATAGAAGCTGCAACCAGGGAAGCACAGTTTTCAGATTTCCATATGGAATTCAGCATATGAATGCAGTTCTTTAAAAGGACTGGTAATTGGGGGTACCTGGTTGGCTGGCTCAGTCAGTGGAGCATGTAACTCTCCATCTAGGGGTTCTGGGCACCTGGGTGGCTCAGTAGGCTAAGTTTCCGACTTCAGCTCAGGTCATTATCTCACAGTTCGTGAGAGTTTAAGCCGTGTCGGGCTCTGGGCTGACCGCTCTGAGCTCGGAGTCTACGGCCTGCTTTGGATTATGTGTCTCCCTTTCTCTCTCTCTCTCTCAAAAAATAAACATACATACATAAAATCTTAAAAGAAAAAAGAAAAAAAAAAGACTGCCCACTAAAAAAATATGAAAAATCACATTTACCTGAGCATACAGTGCATAGCCTTCAGCACACCTTGGGAATTTCTTTATAACCTCTTCAAAACCTTTCATAGCTGCTTGGATTTGTGAAGAATTGTTTCCTGTATATGCCTGGCGATACTGTGGAAGTAAATCAAAAGAGGCCTGTCAAATCAAGAACTCAAAAACTCATGGAATTTAACATATTACAAAAGTCACACAAAAATCACAAAATTATTTCCAGAAAAGCAGGTGATTTGCTAACCTAATTTGCTGCATCTAAAAGGGTTGCAAGAAACTATCTCTGGATATATCTCCATTTGCTATGTACAACTATGACTTCATTGCCATTATACAATTTCAAGATGTTTAATAATCTAGAAGAAGGCATACTAACGTGTAAGTTACCACTGCATATAAAAGAGGGCTTTTAGAAGTCCAGTACGCTCTCCATTTTGTAAATGGTGGCTTCTAAATATAATTTATTATCACCTTACTACAGGTGTTATAAAGCTTCATCTAGTAACATTTTTCATCCATAATATAAATGTGCTTGTGACCCAATTTCTTTAAGAAAAACTCTTTTAGGACTCAGACTATAAGGGCTAACTGGAAGTACCTCATTTCACTAGAAATGGACTTATTTTACCTGATTTTTAGCTTCATGTTTCTGAGTATTAACAGCTTTACAAAGGTGAGATGAGAAAGCAGTTATGTGGTCTGACTGAAGAGTACTTCCTCAAAATGCTTTTGTTTTTTGTGCTAGTTTATGGTAGAAAAGTAAGAAGAACGGTGCTGTTTAGGGGAGGATGAAATCAGGGACAAACATCTATCAAGGTAAACTCAAAACATCCAGAGAAATATAGGAGCAAAACCTCAATTAGCAACTACACTTCCATTTCCCTAAACCAACAGTTTTTCTCTCGTAGTCTTCCTTTGGCAGAAAAATAGGTGATGGTTTTGTACAATGAAACACTTATTTTTGTTAACAATGGGAAATAAAAATGATGTTTAGGAAAATACAAAAGAAAGTAGAACTCACCAATGCAAAACATTTCTGAGCTTGTGCCAGGGCTGACTCAGGTCTTAATCTAATACATTCATCGAAATCTGCCACTGCTTCCTCAACTTGATCAAGCAATATTTTCAGCTAAGGAAGAAAAAAAAACAATTATCTATACAGTGTCTCTTACCACAATTTAGCATAATGCTAAGCATGTAGTATTCAATACAAAATTACTTTCTAGAAACCGTGAACTAGAAAATCCTATCATTTAAAGGAAAGATTCTAAAAACTAGTGTCCAGTTTTTTCAAAAACACTAAATACTATTAAACCCACCATTTTTGTACTGCAGTTTTGGTCACTCTTAAGCAAGAAACCTGTTCTCCTAGAAGACTAAAACATCCCTACTTTCAAATTTCAAACATATCAGACAAGAGTAATTATCTTTCAAATTAATCTTAAGACACTACCAGTAAGGATCAAAATGTCAAGAATTTTAAGAGATTATCTTAACATCTCTTAACAGCCTTCGGATAGAAGTATTAGGTAAAATTTTCCTACATTAGAAAGAACTTCAGCTTTTCTGTTGTATGGAAATGTAGCCTATACATTCCACCCTAATGTAGTCCAAGAAGCCATCCATGTTAAACGGGTTATAAAGACATGTTTTCCCCAGATAAGGCTGGAATTGGAAATGATTTCCTTCACTATGTATTTTTACTAAAAACCAAGTTTTTACTAAAAAACCAAATACTATAAAACTCCATTCAGAAGAGATTTTTTTTGTACTGTTTGGATAGTTTAGGACGCTATTTCCTTACAGCAAGCCCACAGAAATCATCCTGTTGATTCTAGCATTAACCTAAAATATTCAATAAATGCTTTTAATGTTTTACTCACTGAAAACCTAAAAGCCAGAAATACGTGAAAAACAAACGCAAACCGGCAAGCCAGTAATTGTAGCCTTCTGTTTCTTTTTTTATAAAGGACAAATATTCAAGACAGGACTACATAAACGCCCACCCAGACTGTGAAATACTTTGATACTTTGTTCATGCTATCAGAAGTGACACAAGAAAACTTTTGACAACCTTCTCAAAACTAGTATCCTATTCCTTAGTACAAAGGTCAGAACTCTTGATAAGAAAAGTACCTGTCCTCGGTGGTGATAAACGTCTGCATTCTGAGGATCAATGTCAGCAGCCATGTTAAAATCCTGAGTAGACAACAAAGGCTGCTGCTGTTGCATGTACATGCTGCCTCTTTTGATGAGAGCATTTGCACGAAGCTACATAACCAAAATGAGAAAAGGTTCATTGTTACTGTTTATTCCAATTTAGTTTTTCTAAAGTAACAGCTTTATTCAAGTATAACTCACACACCATAAAGCTCATCCTTTAAAAGTATACAAGTCTTTTTTTTTTTTCTTTTGAGAGAGAGAAAGAGAACACCACATTTTGACATTTTGAGTGAATCTTTGTACAGGGTGTATGATAAGCATCATTACTACTTGCCATTAAAACAAAAAGTTATGGTCATGAAGGAAGAAATAGGTTTCTTCTCCAAAAAAACTTTTTTGAGGTAAAAGTACATGTAAATTTTCTTTCGATGAAATAAGAACACCCCCACAATTTTAACAAAAACAGAACATATTTGTGATCACTAGGAAATAAAAATAAAGATCATATTATTAGTGTATCTTCAATTTGAAAACCTCATTTTAAAAGGAACTTTTTTTTTTTAAATATAATTTATTGTCAAATTGGCTAACATCCAGTGTGTAAAGCGTGTTCTTGGTTTTTGGTGTAGATTCCCGTGGTTCATCGCTTACACACAACACCCAGTGCTCATCCCAACAAGTGTCCTCCTCAATGCCCATCACCCATCTTCCCCTCTCCCCCACCCTCCCATCCACCCTCTGTTCTCTGTATTTAAGAGTCTCTTATGGTTTGCCTCCTTCCCT